CCACGTCACCCTTTTGAGCTTCAGCTCCGTTTCTCGACGGCGGCGGCTTTGGCACGTAGAGCGTAGTGTGGCCGCAGTTGTCCCAAGCCTTGATCTTTTGACCTGGCCCTCAGGGGCCCTAAGAGCGTCAAACTTTGGGTGGTGCATGCAAGACACTTTGACTTTCAGAGATCAACATCAACTGGAACATACTCCTGGCATTTGGCATCTCTTGCAACACACCCCAACCCAAACGAGCAGAGAAGTGAAGACATTCATTGGCTTCGATGTTGAGCCATGTTGATCTTGTTGATACACACTATCTATATATCATATAAAGATATATCATTGGTAGGCCAAGGTCCAACCCCAAATAGAAGAATGGCCAACGTGATGCAGTTCTTGACTTGAGCTTCCGGGGTGCGGAGTTTGCATGGCTGGATAAGATCTTAGGATATCCATGTTAATTCGATATTCATCTTATACATCTTATTTTAGATGTTCAGCTCGGTCATCCGAAGATGCACAGTTAGGCACACGCCAACCCCAAGTGAATTCAACGTCTCCGAGCCTTCGGACGCCACAAGCTGCAGATCCGGAGAAATCCTGAGCCATCCGGACATGTAAAGTGCCACCAATTCGGAGGCTTAAACTCGCTCCAAAGGCTGAAAATGGACGCCGCGTGGCTGCTCTTCAGCTGCACGACTCCCTGTGCCTTAAGAAACGCCAGAAAATACGGATGGAGTAACTCACAGGTTCCAACTCAGGCGGGACCCCCCAAAAACCCCCAACACTCCCAGCAGCTTCGGAACGTGTCCCGGGTTCCGCGCCACGCGCCTCCACGCCACGCCTACGCCTACGCCTCGCCACGCCTTTGCAACGGTCGGTGCGAAGCCGAGAGGTCTCGGACATCTCCGAGAAGCCTTTCGGCTCCTGGATCGGGACCAAAATGGGACCCTGGACCTGCAGGACTGGATGCTGGGAGCCTGCAGACCTGGGAGGTGGTTTGATGGAAGATGGTATAGCTTCTCAACTATACTTCTCATAGCTGAGGGAATGATTCTTCAGCAGGGAAGTGTTTGGATCCATTGCAAACAGATGGAATTTGGATGTGAAGATGCCATTTGCGTAGATTTGTTATCCTGGCCTATCACCTTTCATGGAAGTTCCTTCAGCTTCTCTTTATACAGTAAACTGATATTCTAAATGTAGTAATCCACTGTCACTGATCGAAATGGCCGAATTTCTCCGCCGGCTCTGCCGGGTGTGCTCTCATACCTTCCCACTGTCCTCCAGGAGCTGGTCGATGCCTTTGAACAGTGTGCACCCACGCGGGTCTCGAAGCACCACATCGAGGCCACCCGAAAGAAGACGTGATGAGCCGAGCCGAAAGAACAAAGCTTTTGAAGGTTAGGTGGATGACATGGTTCCTAGGGCTCCAAGGTGTTTGAGGAGGTACTTGGAGCCCTAGGGGGTTGCAAACAGTTATTCTTCCCACTTTCATGTTTCTTGGGAATGTATATATAGGGTTATATAGAGAAGGGAAGGGTACTAGGTGGGAGACTTGCAACTGAAGAACTGCCATGAAGCTATTCGAAGGTTCGGCGGGATGTCCGAAGTGCGTATCCCAACCCGGAAGTTCAGGGGTAGAAGTAGAGCAAGAGTTACCTGTCTCCACCCAGTGGATGCCAGTCTTCGTCGGACAGAAACGACGCTTCAACACATGAGAGCCAAGAGCCCTCGGGCTCATGGCCCACCATTAATTTTCATAACCTGAATCCCGAACAACCATTGTTTTACTTTAAGGGTTTTATAGTACCAAACCAGCGCTCATGAAGGTTTTGCACTACCAAACCTTCAATGACCATTTACTGTACACCATTTCTTAAAATGCTCTTCGAAGGCGATCGGGCTCAAAACTCTTCCCAGACATCGCCAGCAACAACGCGAGGAGCTGTTTCGGCATATCGACGTGAACGGGGACGGCACCATTGATGTGGAGGAGCAGCTTCCAGTCGATGGGACACCTTTGTTGAACAGATCTGCGAACGTAATGATGTTTTGTCCTAAGAAATCGCTAAGAATTACGTATCCGTAAGAAGGAATTTCGATCAACCACCACATACACACTCTGAAATGATCATCAATCATTGGTTAGTGGAGTGAAAAACCACCTGTTTGGTATTTTGATTGAACATCGTCATCCTTCCGGGGCCATTTGCTTTCATGATGATTTCAGGGAGTGTGCCCAAACGTTCCATGGTGGGGCGTGATGGCCTACATTCACCACCCAAAACCACACATGCAGTTTCATGGAGCGTTTGGTATAGGTAGGTACTTAGGGCAGGCCAGGGCTGGGGGGCTGGTCGGTATTCTCACATGAAGAAGCAGGTGTGCGTCGCTCAGGTTCGCCCGGGTCGTTGAGGCACCCAGTGACTAGGATGAGAGGCCTAATCCGGGCAGCTCGTCTCCAAGACCTATGTTGGTCACTGGGGAGGCTCTCATCGAAAATGCTCCGTGCAAAAGAGGGTGAGCCTGCAAAAGAAGAAACCCCACCAGTCATCTCGAAGCACAAGGTCCTGATGTGTGTAGCTTGAGTGATCCCCAAAATAGATGAAACAGGTGTTCCAATTCTACGGAGCAGTGCCTGCCATGCTGCTGCTGTTTTTTGGAGCGATGCACACAATCATGGGCAGGCAGGACTTTTAGCAACTTTAGATCAACTTTAGCTACACACAAAAAATGTAATTTCTCCAATCGAGGTAAGACGAAGCATTTTTGGCTTTGAGCGACTCTATGTTCGTCATATGAATGATAGGCAGGATGCCACATGTTTTGAAAGCCACTCACTTGTGTTGGACTCATATTGTTCAACTCACTTTCGAATGCATTTGGCTTGGCGAAAGGAAAAAACAGGCGCTCCATTATATACTCCTCCAAAAAGGATCAACTTAGTTTAGAGAAGCGTTGATATGGACCCACGTTTGTCACGTTTGGTACATGTGTGTTTTCCGGTTCTGTTCTTGGCACCAATTTGATTTGGAGCCATCAGCAGAGAGAGAAAGCCATCACCATCCATGCCTTTGGTGTGACCTATAGGAGATGATAGAGTTCCTTGCGAAGACCTGGATGGACACTGGGCTGAAGAGATTGCGGAGGATGCCCTGCCCCAGCTCATAGCAGAGCAACTGGAGTTGGTGGATGGAGCAAACCATGCGCCTCGAGGGTTTGGAAAAATGATGGCTCCAACGCACAAAAGAGGTATTCTACTTCGTGTGGTGGGTAGTCTTAGTATATAGTGCAGTGTAGTGCCCTTTCAGTGCCTTGGCATGTCGCCTGACCAGGTATAATGGTTCTCAGAGACAATATGATCAGGTACTGACATGGATAAGGCCAGAAGGGTGAGGGCGTCCTCCACCCGAGTGCAGACCATACGGGGGTCCCTGTGTGCATCCTATCCCAGACACGACGCATGTCAATGTAGGTATAAATATGCCAGTCCCAATCCCTACATCACTGGTAATAATGTATAATGATGTATAATCACTGGTAATAATATGCCATAAATAATGTATACCCTGGGTCAATCTAGTGTTTGGGTATACACTCCCTGAACGGATGACCCCTCGGACCAGCTGCAGCTGGTGAACGAGGCCCAGCACTTCCATGCGAGTCTTTAGTGTACTGGAGTCTTCTTCAGGAGTTTTCCTCCACTTTTGGGGAGATCTTCAAGAAGCTCGTTTTTTGCCACGACTAAAATCAATCCCACCTCGTTTCTTTAATATTTTTTAAAAGGGGGGCAAACAGTCGCTGGCCCAAGTCAGGTGTCAGTTGACCATTATTTCAGTGAGTGAGTTGGATCTCGATGGATGGGAAACGGCAATGAAACGCAATGTGTTGAAAAAAGGTAGGTTCGGTGCTTTCCACTGTGTTTTTCCTGGTGTTGCTTAAGGTCTTCTTTGGGCTTTGCCGGATCCCAGTTTCTTCAGCAAATCCAAGTAGATAGTGGGATCCACCCAATCCAAAACTCTGGCTCATGATCCCACCCAGGAAAGCCTGGAGCTGCCCAGTCCTGCGACTCCGATTGGAAGTCACAAGGCCGTGCTCGAAGTGTGTGTTTTTGTTGGGTGTAGGGGGCTGGGTGTGAACAGACCAGACTTGCATGGGGGACGAGCTGATATTCCGTGCCGACTGGGGAGGAGAAAGGTTTCGTAGGATTTTGGGCCATCCAACACTCCAAGACTTACTTGTAGGATCTTGTAGGCATAAATCTGGCGAGAGACATCAAGTGGGCGCGTGATATACCAAGTGGGTCTGCGATCTTCTGATACCGTAAATGTTTGATCCTTTACCTCTGATTAAGAGGCGTTTTTGGGGCGCCGTTGTGCTGCTTGAAACCACGTCTCTGCCTGGTTTCCCCCTCAAGAGGAAAGTGATTCTGTTTCTGAAGATGGCTGCCATCCCCTGTTCATTTCTTCCTCCTACTAGTACCCGCGCAGATCGGAAGAACCCTTTCCACTTGGAGTCTTTTTCCTCACTTTTCAAGGTTCCTGGGCAGCTGTGAGACGGCACTTGCGAGCGTTGCGCGAGACAAAAGTGCGGGCCAGGGTTCGCCAGCCTGGTTTCGTACCAGACTGCCAAACGTCAGAGGAAAGATCTCCAAACAAAATCATTTATTTCACCTGCAGGATCTCTAGGGCGAGTGGAATGATTAAGAGTCAGTGAATGTGTATGGCAAAGATCCTGGTTCAGAAGCTCGGGACGGGGAGCAACCAAATGTCGACTGCAGCTTGGCAGAACGCCACCAATAAAACATATCTAACACATCTAACAAAATCTATGCTGCAGCTCCCCGAAATCACGAGCTATACATCTAACACATCTAACATCATCTATCGCATTATGCCGGATTTCTTGGATGTTCTTGATTTGCTGAATGAAAGGCCTCAAGGGAAGTAAGGACAGTTGGTTCCTTAGGATACGATTTCTTCAGACACCATCACCCTGTCGAGCCCTGTCAGGCCGCCGAGCCAGCATACGAATCTAGCAAAGCGCCAAAAAAGACAGTCGCAGACAAGATGCACACATACTCGGGTATACTCGGCAAACCTGTGCTTTGGACTTGTGTTTTTGTGGTATGATTGATTTCCAATTCGATGAGCATAAGAAAGTGTCATTGAACGCTTGTACGTCAAGCACCTTTGTGCAAGCATTTAGCTTGCACTGAAGACATGACGAAACATGATGGGTACAGGTAGGTGTTTGCAGACATCCCAAACCAAGCCAAGCATTGAGTTATTGAAGTCTGTGAACCTGGAGTGGGTCAACTTTGAGTCCTGACATGTCCTGACTATATATATATATATATACATACTGTATACAAACATATAACTCCTTTTGTTTAAGGGTGTTCCTCGTGAACAGGTGGAGCCAGATTCAAAAAGTTTTCCGACACGATGTGGAAAATCATCCCTCCGTTTGTTTGAGAAAAATGCAGCGTCACACGAGCCGAAATCTCCAGAACCTCCCTCCCACGTTTTCCTTCCCGTAGGTCATGTGGCTGGATACCAATCGATCGATTGGAATTCCGGAATTCTCCCCGTTTGCACACCTTTCCCCACACAACAAAAAGCACATTCTTGATCCGATCCTTTGGATATCTGTGGATCTGGATCATTCTGGATCCCACTCTTGCCGCTCTGCCGCAGACTGCCGCACACTCCGCCCATCGCGATCGTCCCGGTCCGGGCCGTGCCATGCGGAGTTGGTCCGAGCCCGACGACGACGGCTCGGACCTTGCGTCGAGCGATGGCACCTCGAGCGTCGACGGGATGCCACGCGTGTGGTGATGGGTTGAAGCAAAATGAGCACATGGTTGGATGGATTTAGGGCGGGGACAAGGAAGGATGTAATTGAGAACAGCAAGGACCTGATTTTGTGGAAAGCACGACGCACATGCCGCACATGCCTCAAGATGTGGAGAGAGGAGAAGGACATTTGAGTCGGCATACATACCTTGCCACGGTCACCAAGCTACTCGATGAAGGGAAGGTGTTTTGCGGAGATAGGAGTTAAGAGTTTGCTTCAAGATCCACAACCAGTTTCATGTCAGAAGAACTACATGATCGATGGTTTCAACTTCCGACTATAAGCTTTCAGTACCTCAAAATGATGAATCTATAGAGAACTGATCAGATCCTTCAGATGAGTTCTTTCGACCACACAACATATTTAAGGGCTTACGCCCGACAGCCGGCCAGGGGCGTTGAGGTAGGGGGCTGGAGGGTGCAGGCTGAGTGGATGTTGGGCGGGCTTGGGGCTATGTTGCGCACAGCTTGGGTCAAGCTTAGGCCATGTGGAGCCTTTGTTGCGCGGTCTTGGAGCATAGCTTGCGTCTAGCTTGGGCCCATGTTGGCTCAGCTTGAGCCCATGTTGGCCTAGCTTCACCCATGTTAGCCCAGCATCCGACCACGATGCAGACGAAGCACCCCGGTGCGGCACGCATTTCCAGCATTATTTGGGCCTATGTTGGTTGGGCTATGTATGTTGACCCCTCGCGAGCAACACGAGCGGAAAAAAACACGTCAAAAGCCCCTGCACCTGGGGTCGGCTACGCTTTCTGCTTCACAGAAGGAGAAGTGCCTTACCGGCAGGACACGGCCCACGGGGCGCTTCTCGCCCCTGGCCGGACAGACTTTAGAGTGCTGGCTTCAGGGGGTCCAGATGCTTCATTCCTCCAGCTGCCTGCGGCGTCCAGCTTTGTGGTCCCAGGCAGTGCTTCTGATGTGGACACCAGCGATGATGAGGACTTCTCCGGCGTGCCGTTGGTGGCCATCTCCTTCAACATCACCAAAGGCCAGGACGGACGGTGATCTGACGGACTGATATCCACGGTGTTGCACGGATTTTTATTGCCAAACATGAGGGAGTTACTTCCCTTCGTTCCGGGCCGATCATAGAGTCATAGAACTCTTCGAGTCTAGAGTCTAGAAGGGAACAACTCCAAGCATTGCTGACCCAGCTGTCCCACTGGTGATCCACCTCTTCTCGTTGGGACCTCAGATCGCCACAAAGCTGGAAGCTGCACTGTGCTGCTTTAAGCCCAAAAAACCGTGAGGAATCGTGGGCATTGGCATTCTGAGCCTCCCTGCGGGTGTGGCGGAGGGCACCGGGCTGATTCCGGCCATGATCATTTTGGTCCTCATGTACCTAGCGACCTGGAGCAATGCTTCCGGTGCCATGAAACACCGAGAGACGAAATGCTTCGCCGGACGGGTTTGGCAGATGAGACCGTCATGGGGCATCCTCCCGGTGCTTCGGAGGACTGGTGTGGTGGATGGTTTCAGATGTTTGGATCGATTTGGGTGACCAATGACTTACACCCACAAAGCAGACTTACTGCCAGAGTTTTTAGTCCTTCACCCACGGTCCTTACACCTCAGGGTGACCGACTTACGGTCTCAGTACACCCACCATCAAAGTATTCCAACTAATTACTCACTCTCGGCCAGAGAAGAGAAGGAGAAAAGCAACCAGGACATGAAAAACCCGCATTGGAGGACATGGCGAGATCAAGTCCTGTGAATGAGGGTGAGAGTAAGGGAGCACAAGCAGTCAACAAGCATACATATGGATCTACTGTAGTCATAGCGACCATCACCCCAATCAAAGATGAACACTTCATTCTTCTATGGCATCACACCAAGCCCGGCCTATCGCGCACCGCAGGCCCTTTTCGCCGTGGATTTCAGCTGTTCAACCTGAGGCGATGCTCTACACCTTCTGGTCCTTGGGTCGCTGCTGCGAGGCTACTCATTGCAAAACCCACGGAGGCATTGCCTTTGCCCTTCGCAAGAGCCATGTCTTCGGCAGCATCATGGAGGCCGCTCCGTGTGCGGTGCCGCGACACGCGCGACACCGCGCGCGTTGCGGGCGAGAAACTGGTGAGCAACCTGTGCGTGCTGAAGCGGGAAGGTTCAGAAGTCTGAGAAGTCCATTGTAAAATAGTGTACTGTATATTTGTTTTCATGAATTAGACAGCCACTTCGCACCTTTTGCTCAAAACCTCCTCCGCCATTCTTGGAAGCGAAACGAAAGAACTCCGCCGTACCAACCTTTAACATCCTTTGACCCTTTTTTGGTGGACTGGTTTCCCCAATAAGAATCCAACAGGTGGAACATTTGGTTAGCCTGATTTTCTGGAGAAAACGGCTCGCGTTTGTTCCCGTATGCCTGAAGTCACGTCTGAAGACACCACTTCAGATCACCAACATCACTGGCACGATCTTTGGCTGTGCGGGCTATGCCATCGTCATCGGCAAGAGCAGTCAGGGCTTGTGGCAGTCTATCGGTGTGGAGGATGGCTGGTATGCCAGCGCGCGGGGCAGCTTCGTGATTGTAGCGGGGCTGCAGTGAGCAGGGCAGGGCCGTGGGAGGGGTCACATCGTGGCAGGGTGACAAGGGATGGGGAGACCCTTTTTGCTCCATACAAGTACTATATCAAGTAGTTATGAGTACATTATGTGTTAATTATTGTGTTTTGGCTGGTCAAAGCTTCTCTGAGAGACCACATTTTAAGAAAGAGAAGAGGTTTGAACTGCGAGAACGGCACAGTGAACGGTTTCCGGACGTTGCCTCGCCGTGATCGGTCAGCAGGTGAGCTGGTGCGGAGTTGAAACGCTGTAGATGGTACCCTAGGGCTCCTGGCCAACCGAACCTGAGGATATGGGACAGGAGCCCTAGGTTGTTTTCTGCGTGGCCCACGGATTGATCAGTCGCCTGGTGTTTTACAACGATCAGTGCGCCCGTGACCATATAGTGTCTTTGCACCCATGTCAGACTCTCCACAGTCCAAAGCCTCACTTGGTGGGAGGCTTTGCACATCCCTTGTCACGAGAAACTTCCAACATGCTCAGAGGACAGAGGCACCTGTGACTTGTCATCAGACCACCAGTGGGCAGGAACCTGCAAGTGGGTGCTCGGCATGGCAGCCGATGCTGTAAGCTGATCTGATGGACGATGAGTGTTGTTTGGTTCATTGGTGTCTATGGCCCCTAGGGATTCACTGCCAGCTTCCCTCCAAACCTGCATCAAAGAGCGTCCAATCAACTACTCAGAGGATATGAGGATCCAATATGGAGTAATCCGGGTGGTCGTAGTGCGCGATTTTCGTGAAACCGTCCACCTTCGCAGTGCTAAGGCGCAAGTAACTTAAGGAGTCCACTCTCATGTTCATACTGAGATGCGTAACCCATGGCTATCTTGATGAACAAGGGCTATCCTCGAAAGACTGATTCGAGACGAGTGGGATCTGGAATGCAACTTCAGCCTGACTCCTAGAAGAACTCATCCCCCCATGGTTGTCACACTGTCATGATCTTCACATGGCTTCACTGAATTTGGACTGCAGATCCTGTGCTTCATCTTGCTGCCCTTATGTTTGCTCCGCGATTTGTCCAAGCTGGCCTTCACCAGCTTCATCGGTGTGGCGTGTGCCACTCGTCCTTTTTCTCCGAACGGGCGACCGACCGGTGGGCGGGTGACGGTGACCGTGCGCACGAGAGGCGGGTAGTATTGGGTTGAAGACCACCCGAACGACCCGCAGGGTGAAGGTTGGAATACCCTACAGCTCCTGGCCCACCGAACCTGAGAAGATGGGACTGGGGTGGGTGCCAGGGGGGTCTAACCACCGAACCTGAGGATATGGGACAGGAACCCTATAGGAATAGATCGATAGAAGGGAGGTTATAGATGCGGATTGGTAGACGCGTTAACAGTGAAAGAATGCCTGATGCAACACTGGAGATGTGTTCATTGGTGTTCAATTTGATTGTAGAGGTGTCGGTGGAATTCTACGTTCATCCCTTTCCCCTCCAGCAAAATCCGCCGGCCCTTGGGCGCGGCGTGTTTTATTAGGTGATTGGTTTGCATGCTATCCTAGTAGTAGTTTTGTTTTTAGTCTAATTGTACCCACGGCGCGGATTTTTGACAACACCCCCCCCCCCCCCCCCCTTCCCTCCCCCCTCCCCCCCCCCTCCCCCCCCCCCCCCCCCCCCCCCTCCCCTCAGCCAAAAGGGCTGGCGGAACAATCCGCAGGGGTAAATAACACAGCTAATATCCACACACAGGTTTGGAACCATTGCGGATTGCTTACCTTTGAAGCTTTGCTATGCTAACCGGTTATGGTCCAGGTGTATAGTTTTACACCTGAAAAAATAACATAAAATTAAACTACTATTAGGAGTGCTCCACCTGACTCAACCAGCGAAGTGTTTCATCTGGGTCGCCCGAACCCTCCAGCCGGCCGTATCAGTCACGAGCGAAGCTTCGTGACAAGCGAAGCTGGACCAGGTGTTCAAGCGCCGGATGCGGGTGGACTGGTCATACACAGACCGCGAAAGCAGGGAACGTTCCGGAACAACGCTCTCACAGGTTTTTTCTTGCAACATCAATCTCCAGCTTGGTTTGAATTTCAACTCTTCGGCTGTTTCACATGGGCCGAAGAAGTGTTACTCCGCGTTGGGATCCACCCTTGGGTCTATATATCATCAATGAAACGTAGTGAAACCATGTGAAACCCATTGGTCATCATGAGATTCAGCATAGACACCTTTACCGAGATTCTGGATGGTGAAGTTGCACAGATTCCAACGCTGATCCCATGAAAATCGTTGCACGGCTTTGCCGCCGCTGGCTCCGCCCCAAAGGAGCTCTTCGTGGTGTTCTTCATGGTGTGCCGCTACTTCGGCGGAGACTACCACCCGGGAGGTCAATTCTACGACCCCAAGAATTCTGCGAGCAGCACAGGAGAACTGGCCTTCGAACTTGGAGTGTTTCAGGTTTGAATCTGACCTGCCCTAGGGCTCCAACCATATTCTGAGGGGGGTCCAACCACCCCAACCATCTTCTCAGGAGGTGGGCCAGGAGCCCTAGGGCTGGAACGCGGGAAGGATGAGGTCGGATGGAGGCGTTTTTTTTTTGAGACGAATGAGCTGCGCTTCATGGGCCCGAAGGCCCCATGCTGCCGTGGTTCGATGACAAAGCGAAATCACCTTTGGAGTTGTGTGGATCTTCTAGAATTCCATAGGATTTCCAGTGTGGATGACATTCCTGCATCAGGCTGCTAGGGTAATTGAACTCTGGATTCTGCATGTTCTTGGACCAAACCCCCTCTCAAAGCAGGTTTGGGTCCCATTTGCAGTATTTCTATGTATTTGTATAATTTTGTATAGCCCTATGGATCCACATACCCGGGTTTGGAGGGTCCAGTCATACCTTCTGAGGAGGTACGACCGGAGCCCAATTGGGTATATAGTTAAACGGCGTATACGGCTTTTTAGTCAAAGGTTCCTGCTCATGATCATCCAGACTGGAGTTCTTATATAACTCGACTACCACGGTGGTGAGCCGTCCGTTCCATCTTCAGGAATCGAACTCTTCACGATCGACAGTTCAGTCTTCTTCCTGGTGGGTCACCTGGCAGATGTGGATGCCATGATCCGAGAAGTGGTTGGACCTCAAGTGCCGGGCCGAGGGGATGGAATTCTATCAAACCCAGAACCTGAGTGAGCCCTATTTTGGAATCAATGATTTGTCGAACAACAGAGGTCACGGTTCTAGGTATGTATACATGTTGGGTTTATCCTATTACCTGCAACAGTGAGTAAACAATTATCATTATTTTAGAGAAAGGCCTGCAACCAGGCCCCATCATCATCCACTGGCCCTGGTGATATGAGTCTTGGAGGGATTGCACTGTTGTGAGAGTTGGCCGCAGAATTTCATGGCACCTGGTGATGTGTGTGTGTTTTAATGAGTTTCCCCAGGTGGAAACCTGGATGCCAGGTTTTCATCTCAAACCCCCAACTGGTTCTCCCAACAAAAACAAGATGGTTTGAACAAAAACGGGAGAAGCTCTCTACTTCGACTCAGACCTCAAAAGATCACGTTGTCTTGAGTGGAAGAGTCTAAGAAGTCAGAGGTTCGAATCTCACAAAGCCTCGCGTGATCCGATCCTTTTTTGCGAGAAGGGTTTCGTCAAAATCTGCCGTCCGACCGGACGGTTGCCGACCTTCGACGTGTTCGTGCCCGGCTGGTCGCTGGTCGTCGCTGGTCGCTGGTCCCCGTGCCGCGGCAAGGGAGCTGCGTCAACGCCTTCGTGGCACATTGGAACTCGCCAAAGTTTTATCATCAGCTGAGGACATGGGTGGGTGAGACGGGCTGAGACAGAGTGCGCCTGCTTTGGTGTTTCTTTAGCCTCCCTGGAACTAGCAGCTGGAAGTGGAAAACCCTGTGTTACAGCGTTTGTAGAGGAATCTGGTTTTTCAATGCCATTGTCCACTTCCATGTTGGCTCCAGGAAGTGTATATATTATATGTAATATATATATTGTGATATATTATAATGTATATAAACAGATGTGGACTTTGACCCTTGAGGCAAGAGAAAAGAAGGACACGATGACAGTGATGGGGTTTGTTTTTGACAGCCGGTGCACGTGATAGGCTGAAGAGCCGAGGCAAGGGTCGAGGCAACGAGTCCAGATATGTGGGGGGTGCAATTTGTTAGGTATGGCTGCCAAGTGTCTAGCAATAACCCCTTAGAGGTTAAGGGATATTCATTAACTACCCCAAACACGGGGTCCTGGTAAAGGTAGTGGTTGTGGGGGAGCATGAAAGGACCTCAAGATCATGGAGCACCCTGGAGCTCATGGAACACTCTAGAGATATATTCTGTTTGGCGCGTCCATGCTGCTCTTTGCAGGAACCGTGGCACTCGACGATTCCTCATAGCGGTGTCCTTGGGCTTCAGTATGGCCTTGGTGCTCTACCTGGTTTGCATGGCTGTGGGGTATCTCACGTGGCTCGGCGTGTATGCATTACGCCGTGTGATGCAGGGAAGGAGAATGGAACGGTGGTCCTGCAATTTCCCTTGCAAGGATTACTGTATACTGAGAGGCAGGCGTTCGGCAGGTGTTTTGAATAGCATTCCAGAGATTAAGACTCAGCCCCAGATCAACGGGGGGCCGCAGGGAAGAGACAGATGGGCCCCTTTAGAATCGCACGGTCCTGCGGCGCCAATTGGATGGGCCCCTTCCTTACTCTACTGGAACGGGTGCTCCTCCGCAAAACGGGTTCGGTGCTTCTTCAGTCCTTCGCCCCCTCTTTAGGCCTCCATGCTCGGTTCTCATCTCTATGGAACAATTGCATTGACTCAGTACAACTCCGGAACCGATGAATGTGTTCGGTGGTCGAGTCCTCGAGCGAATCCAAAGGAAAACCACCCTCCAACTCACCTGAAATCTCCGACCTCCCGAGCCCTGCGGAGCCCTGCGGAGCCCTGCGGAGCCCTGCGGCCTGTTGCTGGGAGGTTCGGGGCCCATTGCCACGGCGACATCTTGCACAACTACTCTGCCCATGATGATTTGGCCTCAATCTCCAGAGTGGTGCCATGTTTGAGCTGTGGAGATCTGGATCGCGTGATTTTTGCCCGCCCAGTTAAACTGGAGTGATGGGGGATCCTATTGGGAGATCCTGCAACTACAGGGAACATGTGAAAGAACGATCCCGAGCCGGGCTTCAGGTACCTGAAACCTGGACATGACCTCTGCTTTGATAGGAAGTTTGACCATCTTTGGGGTGATTTGTGGTCCAATATAGAGGTCATGCAGGTTCTAGGTATATATAATATAATATATATCCCTCTTGAGAACAACCTTTGGTAGGATGTGAGGGCGTTAACAACCTGAGGATCTTTGTTGGAAGCCCAAGGAGGAATACACGCTTGATCAATGATTGAACGTAAATCATTTATAAATATGTCACTTTTGTGCAAAACGGCTCCCAGCAGAAGGCACTCCAGCATGCTCCCACATCAATCACGGGTGAAACGGGTGATTTTTGACGAAGCCAGCCAACCCCCGGCCATCGAGTCTTCTTCATGATACTCCTTGGCCACTCAAGACTGGAAAAGCCAAGTGTGCAGACTCCAAGGCACACGGGTGCTCCATATTTGGCCTGTTTTTTGACGGGGGGAGAAGCCGCAATGAACTGGATCTTCATGCTTCATGTCTACCATCTCACCCACCTCGTTGTCCTTCCACCTTCTCACGCTGCCCGGCCACACACGATGCCCCTTGCCGAGCCGCGGGCCTCCCGTTCAACAAGGCCATGCTCTTCGCAACGATCTTCGGCTTCCCCATCAATTTCACAGGCGCGCTCCAACCTCTTAGGGCTTAACGGTGACTTGGGGCGCACTGCAGACGAGTGGTGGGCTCAGCTAGTTGGGCCGGGTCGGTGGTAGACCAAGGTACTCTTATGATCTCTTATGGACCTCTCACCGAAGGGATCTTATGGATCTCATCATTCCTTGGACGCGATGCTTTTGGCGGTCACCGATCTTTGTTGGTTTACACCCTACGGTCCTACGGTCCTACATCTTGTTTTTTTTTTTTGGAAGGCGTCCTCTTCGTCTGCGGAGTCCGCGAGTGCGACTGCACACCGGCACCAGGTTTACGCACGGCCTCCTTGACCCTCCTGGGCTTCAGCTCTCGACGCCGCGTTTGGGTCTCGGTGAACCTCGTGCTGCTGACGATTATAGGCCCGTCTCACGCACGAGAAGTGGCGAGGTGCGAGGTGGAGTGTGAGAGTCTATAGGACAAAATTATGATTTGGGATTTACATGGGGATTGCAATGTAATATAATATATTATTACAATGACCTTTATGGGTTTTTGTTGGGTGTTTTTTGGTTCTTTCTTCGATTGGTGCAGACGGCCTTCATGAAAAGAAGAAACAGCAGGCGCTGAAATAAAGCCAAGGTCGCTCAGCTTGATGGCAGCTGTCAAGCTGGGTGCGGCTTTGTTTGAAGGACTGGTCTAGACATGCAAGCTTGGTCAGCTAAGATAGAAGTTTGGGTCAGACGTGAGACATGCAAGCTTGGTCAGACTTTTCATCAACGAAGACAGAAGTTTGGTCAACGGAAGGTCGTGAGTTTCTCACGATGAGTTTCATCATCATGTTGATCTTGTTCAAGATCAAAGGATTCAGCTCAGAGCTGCACACCGCCGCCCACCACCCGCCACCCGCCAGCATTGAGCTGCACACCGCGCAGCTCGCACTGCCAGCCCTGCGCGATCTGCCCTCGCAGGCATTCTGGGCTGCACCTTCACTGACCTTGGACTCCTGTGGCTGGGCTGCACAAGGGAAAGAGTAAATCTACCACAAAGGCAGACCTTCCCCTGGAAGGTCTTTCGCTTGGGAGTTGGGGTTCTTTTGACCCACATGAATAAAAAGGTAGCTTGTGGGGACTGATCAATAATTAATGGAAGGGTTTTCGTTGCAGTTGTTTCGAGAGGCACCGCCCTGAGCTCCAAAGAGATTTTCGTGGGCACAGCCACAGCTTCAGTCCCCTTCATTCAGCTACAACCACTTCCTTCAGCAGTGATCCGTAGCTACTTGTGGTGACTGTGGCGGGCTGCCACCACTTGCTCAGGTCTGCCTTGGTGGGTGGTTCAGTTGGTGCTTTGGTGACCCTCGTTTACCCAGGCGACGGAGGGGGGACCAGATCGCATGGACCGGTGACCGGTTTCTCCGTTCGTTGATGTCCAGTGGAAGATGCCAAGAGGACAAGCGAGGATGCGATGCCATCACCATTCGGTTGGAGGCCATTGCTATTGAATTGAGGACAGGCTCCAAAGATCGCCTAAAGAAAGGCAAGTGTTTAGTTGATTGATTGGGCTTCTTCCACTGTGAAGGTGTAGACGTCGGGGCCTGGGATTGGCAAGTTGTGGTGAGGGCGCCTTAATCTCAAATTGGCACCGTGGATACGCAGATTGATGATTGATGCATGTTCCAGTTGAAGCAGACTTGTTGAGGTTGACCCAAAATGAGCAGGTTTTGTGGTTTCCAGCTTTTTTGACTCCAGCCACGGAACAAGCAACTCTTTTCCCAACTCATCCTTATGTGATGTGTTCAACTTCATTCCTGGGTGGTGGTTGCGGACCACTTTCGTACTTGGACTCCCCAGCACATCAGCCATGTTGGCCCATTCATGCCCATTCAGCCATATGGTATGAACCCCTGTAGCATGTAAGAATGTTCAGTTATTTCCACTTCTGACATGTTTAACTCATAGCTTTTTGAGTGGATGTGGTTCAAGGTAATTATCTCGCAACTGGCGAGCAGATCTTCCTTTCAATGCGCTCGGCTAGGGCTGATGATGATGTGGACCTACAGCAACAGAAAGGACTGGCGAGGAAACAGCGAATCCATTCTCACAGTTGTTGCTCCAAGAGGCCGCATGGTTTTGTACTCGACCATATTTTACCCTAGTGTGTCTTGGACGAACTAATGGCTAGAAGAGCTTCCTCTGATTTCATGGTGTTCAATGTCTATCTTCAGGTCAAGACCTGCTTCGAACGTCGCATCGTGAGACGCCCGTCGTTGGGACCGCCTCCGCTTCCGCCGTCGCCATTGACTGCAGGACCCCTACATCAAGGGGGTCTTCCGAGCCATCGAAGGCAGACCTTTGGCATGTGTCTTGGCCGGAAGGCCTTTGGAAGAACCCTACGATTTCTGAAACAGGGAAAGAATCGTTTAGGAATCTAGGCCGAGCAAATCACTAATTGAGACGGTATTCCATTTCAGTGACTGCGCCGCACTGAGGTGCCCTCATTGCTTTCGGCTGTGCGATGGCCGTGGTTGGCACATATCAAGTCATCCGCAAGCGTCTCACCACCTCCCACAGCAGTGAATGAGCTGAGATGGAGCGGTTTGGCTCCAAAGTGTTGTTCCACTAAAATAATGCACAATGGAAGTTGTTTGATGTTCACGGGTGTTGTTTTTTTGGGGGTGAAGGTGTTGGAGGGTCGTGTTTGTGCCTTTGTTGTCTCGTGTTCCAATGCTGCACCGCAGCCAGCAAGGGCCAGAGGCACTGTCCTACGTCCTGTTTGCATGTCCTCCGTTGATAGGGGCTGCACATCCAGGGACCACATATTCGCCATCCTGGTTTGCCTGGATATAAATTAGACAAAAATATGTTCATATAATGTCAATTTAGAATGTTATGAATCGGTTATAATTCATATCATACAATTTGAATTAATATATATATATCGATGATATCAATAATAAAAAACATATATATATACATATTGATAATGTATTGTTTAATCCGAAAAATGTCTTAATTTGAATATCGAAATTATTTCTCCTAGTCTGCCTAGTCTAAACTATATTACGAAAGGTAGTTTTTTAGGGGATATTTTATCTAGCTGCGCCACTTTTACGCTTTCCCTAGGCTTTTATGGGCAACTTAAGGTTGGCCCCCGGGGACTTGACTTCTCTATTTCCTAAGAGGTCCTATATCCGTCTTTGACGTCTTGGAGTCTTGGATGGATGTGGGTACTAGGAGGCCTTTAGTAAGAGTTGCTTCTAATATTTTCTCTGGAATTACCTGGAAATGAAGGAATACGACCTATTTTGAATTTGTTTTGGATACTTTGAGTCTTGCGAAATACGTCCGGGTCTAATAATTAATTTTATAAATTAAATCTTTCCTCTTCGAATTGATTTCTTATTATAGATTCCCCTTTTGAGCAACGTTATAAATCTCTATGAAAGAATTTAGGTAGGATTTAAAATTATGAATCTATACGAAAGGAAAATTGCAGTTGGGGAAAGGTTTGGAGAAAGGCTCTGATTTTTTGATGAATGGATTTTGTTGCGAAAGGGTTGACGAAGAGGTCTTTAGTACAAAGCATGTTATCCAAAGATTTATGACAACTAGGCGAAAGGTTCGCGAAGATGTGGCGAAAGCAGTGGTTATAGATTAGGAATGATTGCCCTTTGTTGATATATGCTGATATTTTTCTTAGATGTAAGTAGTAGAAATTCGGCGAAAGGGTTAGTTAAAGAGGTTGTCGGATGAAATGGGTCGGCGAAAGCAAAACATGCAGCCGCTAAAGCGTTGCGAAGGGAATAACGAAAGGTTGTTATAATTTTAATAAAAATTCCGGATGGTTTTTGACACCGCTTTTCTCGCTTCGTTGGGATTGATTTCTTGATATAGATTTTCCCCCTTTTTTCGTTTTAATTTAATTCTTTTTTGGAGAATATTTTGGTTAATTTCTTTATAATTTTAGGATGATTGAAATTTTCGTAAACATTTACAAAGAATATATATAATATTTTAATTACGAAAGGTATTTTCCGAGGAAATATATATTTAGAATTTGTTTTGTAAAACATATTAATTTTTTTTATGTTAATGTTTTTTTTGGGAATATTTTTATGAATATTTTATAATTTTAGGATAATTAAAATTTTGTGATGTTTCGATTTAATATTTATCGATAATTTGAATTATGGAATATTTATTTGTTTATTGTTTTTTGAATATTTCGAAAATATATATTTAAATAAAAAATATATATAAATTTATATTTATAAAATGTTTTCGAGGGAAGAAACATTATATCGAATATTTTATTTTTGTTTTATTTTTCGTATTCTTTTTTTCTTTATTATGTTATTTTTCGTATTCTTTTTAAATAATTATAGGATTTTTAATTAGGTTTAATTTGAATAAAAATTATAATTAAATAAATATGTTTTTATTTATTGGACTATATATAAAATATATTTTGAAAATAATTCTATATAAATTATAATCTATAAATAATTATATATATATTATAAAATTTGCTAATAAATTTATATTTAAAACATAAATTATAATAAACCATAAATTTATATATATAATAATATTTGCAAATTATATATTATATATATATGAAATATAAATTATAATTTGCAAATAATTATATATATATAATATATAATAAATAATTTATTTATATATATAATATTATTTGCAAATTTTATATTATATATAAATATGAAATATGCAATATATTTTGCAAATAATATTATATATATAATAGAATTTTTATAAATTAATATATATATAATTTAATTTGTAAATTAATATATATAGAATATAATTTGCAAATAATATATATAATATATTCTGTAAAAAAATTCATATATACAAAGAAAATATATATAGAATAGAATTTTAAAAAAATATATATTTATAAAATAGAATTTACAAATAAAAAATATATATATAATATAATTTGCAAATAATTATATATGAGGCAACCTCAAAATTATCATCAACCACTTTAGTAAGGGACGTTTCATCTCTGTGTTGCTTTCGTGATTTTCCTTGAAAAACGATAGGGGACTGACAAAAAACGATACCCCTATGTATACATACTTGCAAAATCCCAAACCATGGAAAACGATAGGGGACTGACAAAAGTGAAACGAAAACACTCCAAGCATATATTTTTGACGCTAATTCATATAATAAAAATCTTAGTTATAAATAAATTTAAATAAAATAAACACACATATTAATATATATAATATAATTTGCAAATCATTTTATAAATAATTTATAATTTATATATAATAAATTATTTATATAAATAAATATAAATGCAAAAAAATATATTATATAAAATATCCAAATTCCAGATCCTCAGTACCTATAGCCAACAACACCAATTCTCACCATCCTGAATTCTAACATCATCACCCTTGACATCCACAAACATAAGCACCACCATCAGAGTCACAATTCTATCAATACAAAGCTTTAAGAATTTCAGATGCAATCTCAACATCATGATTTCCAATATCCCCAACTTCAACAACACAAAGCTTCAACAACTTAGATGCACTACCCTCAACACCAATATCACCTTATTTTTTTTTGCACGAATCGAGGCACTATGTGTGCAGGTTCTGCACAAATCACCTAGTTCGAATTAAGAAGGAATTGCTGTATAGGTTGCATATCAACCGCAAGAAGAGAATCCCCAAACCGCCAACAACCAAACAGGAACAAACAACAAAACACATAATTAATAAATATTGTAAAATTAATACATTTTCAACAATAAATATTGTAAAATTAATTAGAAATGCTAAAATATACACTAAATATATTAATAATATATATCTCTACATAGAATTCCAATTAAAAAAATCATAAAAATAATTAGAAATCCTATAATCATCCAAATCCAATAATTTTATTTATTATGGTCGATTATATTTATTAAATTTAATATTTTCTTATAATATTGTTTAAATATAAAATACAATTATTTTATTAAATTATTCCGATTATATTTAATATTATGAATATGAAGAAAATTTTAATTAATAGAGGAAGGGAATGACAATCGTAATTTTATAAGGATTCTAGGGGGTGTATTTTACAAAAAGCCTTGATTTAAGAATATTTGATTCGTAAAAATGGTATGGATTAGAATGAATTTATAAAAAAAAATATGAATTTATATAGAAAAAATGTCCAAAATAATTATTTAACAAAACAATTTCTCTAGATAATCAAACAATATTTGACCGAAGATATAATCGAGAATTTTAATTGTTGATTATTCCGGAACCATTTTGAAAAGAAATTGTGTGTGTACGTATTTGATTGTTTTTTATCTAAAATTGAGCGGCGATTATATTGTGCAATGGTATATGTTGAATATCGTATTCTATTAGATTTTAATATTAAATCGATTTAATTTATATAAAATCGATTCGGAGCAATGTATCTTTGTACAATTGCACTCCACAGGGATATCTAAGCATAGATTATATTGATTTATAATATATGTTTTGCGGTGTGCCCATGTTATATTTTATTCTCATTCTTTTGAATTTGTTCGTTGGGGGAGGGCAATTTGCATAGGGATGAAGAATCACGGATTTGGAATAATTTTGATGCAGAGGTTATTGGGTCCATGCCACAATTGCAAGGGGTCTTCCGGTCCAATTGATCTTCCCGATATTGTTATTGATGTTGTTGCGATTTAATGCTAGAATAAATGTTGTTATAGGATGATTTATCTAACGTAATTGTTTTGCAAGGATTTTCGTTCCTAATCTAAGTGTATTCGTTGATCATAAGAAATTGTAGGAATAGGAATCGTGATCGCGCGAATTTCGTGCGGGATCGCATGCAGCTCACGCAAAGGCCTACATGTCGTTTATGTGTTGTATGTAACCTGGCTATTCTCTAAATAATGCATTGGTATGAATGGTTCTTTGCCATTGAGATTTGGAATGAAATATTTTAGAAAATAGGACAAATATGCCAACCATAATACAATGTACACACAATGTTCTTTAAATATATCATGTTCATGTCGTGTTCATTTTTCAAATATGGTTATTATGATTTGACAAAAAAATGAATCGATTTCACGCGAATGGATTGATTTCTCGTTGAAATCTTATGCCTATAGAATGAATTGATTTCATATTATTTTAAATATGCCGCTTATAATAGACGATATCAAAAATTATATATATATTTATTTTTTTTTTTTAAATATATGATATAAACAGAAAATATTATATAATATTCAAGTTTTGTTTACAAAATACAAATTATTTGCGAAAAAGATCTTTAATCCATCTTCATTTTATATGTCGAGATTGCATTTCTAAATATTCTTTGGTCAATAGAAAGAATAATTGATATTATATGTATTAAATCCATTAGATGCAGAATAGTGGGAAAATAGCAATACGATCGGATAACCAAAAGAAACGAAATGCCTTCATATTTGAATCATTCGATATGACAATATCAGAACGGAATCAAAATTTTAGAAATTTATTTTATATAAATATTTATATACAATAAACACGATTAAAATAT